AGAGAATGAGTTTTGTGATTCTTACACAGATTTTTAACTCTTGCTTATTATTGTCCATCGTGAATGGCATAATTTCAGATATCAACACGCATAATTTTATATTTATGTCGAAAAACATTGAAGATCGAACGGCATTGGCTTGTAAATACCAAATCTGCGAGCCTTTCATTAAATATATTTTAAACACGCAATTCTTTAGTCTCCTTAAATTACAGGAGATATTTCTTTTCAAGCAGAATAAAAAAAAAAAAAAACTTTCATTTGGCGTGCTCGATTATACGTTCTTGTTACTACAATTCTGTGACATTTGACAACATTCCTCCCCTAAATATTGTTATTACAAATATAAAAATCAAATCATGCCATATACTTGGCTATTTTCCTTTGTGTTTATGTTTAAGCTCATGTGTGTAATTTTCGTCGAAAATATTATTCTTGTATATAAAGCACACGAGCTAAAAGTGGGAATCCCTGGCAAAAGTGGACATGTAGGCTCGAGCAGACAACATGTATGTATACGTGTACATCCTCCACGTAACAAAAACGCACGTGTTTAGTCTATCGTCACCCTTTGGTTGGGAGGATCGCATAAATATCGCATGCAAATAACACTTCTTGCCCCACCACCGAAATTATATAATTTTTGGAATATATAAGGAACTCTTAACATTAATCTTGAATTCAGTATACTACGTGAGGCCGAGTTCAAATCATTTATTTGGTAAGTTTTTGAACTACATCCACACGTTACGCTCGCCGCTCGCGTGAAATCGCAGAAATTCATCGGAACTATGCAACTTACGGGACATATAAGTGATTGAATTTTGGAACTGCTCGGTCAGTGCAACGCAGTGACATTTCCCAAGAATTTAAATATTTTATTATTTGATAGATGTTTAGAGAACGTTACTCGCCTGTTACTCGCCGCGTGAAATCGCAAAATCGATTAGAATTAAGTGTGTACGACTTTTAGAATATATCATTCCGGAGAAACTTCAGAATTCTTCGTGGTTTGTAGTGACAGTTTCGAAGAGGATTTGTTCTTTGCTCACTATACTAAATCGAATCGCTAATATTTTACCTAACTACTAAAATCACATGATACATTTCATTTATATCTTATTATAAATGTTTCTAAATATTTTAGTTCGGTGTATTTTCATTGACATTTGTCAAATCGTGATAAATTTTTGAGCAACAATATCGATTCTTATTATACATTCTCATTTTTGTTATTCGTAAACTCGAGATTATGCTTCTATCTTTGAACTTAATGTGAAAGCAATATCTTTCTGCGATTGCCAACTTTGAGTGACCTATTTATCTGATGTATATCTCAAAATTCGTATTAAGAATATTATTAAGTAAAGAATATTTATTAATCAAGTATAGTTATTTTATCATATATCCTTGTTGAAAAGAATTTCGAAATTTGTACTGTAAATTAATATCAATCGTGCAAAGTCGAAAATTAGAAGGATACAAATATTTCTGTGACACTGTACACATAGAACAATCTGTTTATACTTAATCTATAATTCATAACTATATTTATTAACATAATTATTGATTATTGAAACACTTTGACATAAAAACTGTCGATGACTGAAACATGGGACTTGTATCGAGTAAATTAAATTTGCTTTAATAGAATTAAATAAAATCAAGTTAGAATAAAATTAACTTGCAAAGAATAAGGAAAATACAATAAAAACGTGCTTTTATTTTTATATACATTTAAAATAAAAAAATCATTCAAGTTCCAAAATATAAAATTTATTTAAAATCATTCTAAAATATATCCTTTGTAAATTTTATAAATTATACCTTATATTATTATATAATTATAAGTATAAATTTTTATAAATTATATTTTAAAATTATAAAAATATATCTAAAATTATAAAGATTATAAAAATTTACAAACATAAATTTTACGAAAAATTTACAAAGATATCTTTTGTACGAAATAAAAATAAAAAATTACGAGTTAGTCATTCTGACCACTGATAACTAACTGTCAATCATTTGTTTCATTAGTCACTTTGACCATTGGTATCTAGTATTAATCATTCCTTTCATTCCATGAAATAGGTATTCTTAACCGGTTATCTTGAAATGAAATGTCTCCGACTTTATTTCGGAGTTTCAGGTTCCCGAAGTGTCATGCAATTTTCGAATCTTGAATTTTCTGTCTGTAATAACATTCTCCTAATATTCTTCGTACATTTTTTCTCTGCAAATGAAAAACAATAGAACAGAAAAATTGTACGAAGAATTGTTCTCAAGAAAAATTTATTCATCTGAATATCACAAGAAATATCATGTATTAAACAAAACGGAAATTGATGCAATTCACTATGCCATAAGTAATGCTTTATTTCATAAATTAACTATGCACTAGTTAATGAAACAATTCCCAAAATTTTTCAATAATCGAGCAAAGAAATATTTAAAGCAAAAACTGATCAGTCCTCAATTGGCAACAAATTACAACATCTAAAACTATGAAAAAAATGTTTTGAATAAAAGATGAAGATCGCTTTGACTTCTTTCAAAGAGCATATCTTTTTGACTCTTTTTTTTTGCGTTATCATAGTCGACTAGATAGCAACAACGTCACAGCTGTATTTATCAACTGTTTCTTTTTTTTTTTTTCTTTTTTTCTTTTCTCTTTCACTGCATCAATGTGATAATTGATTATCATATCGTATTCCAATATGTGTCACTGATATCGATTTTATGTAACACCAATATAGCGATTAATTATCGTGTATTACCATGTGTATTACCGATTAATCGATATACTGATATCGATTTTATGTAACACTAGTAAGAAGAAAAAATAGGACAGACATTAATGACAAATATGTATAGTCTATTGGCAAAAAAAAAAAAAACAAATGAAAAATGATATCTTGTAAATATTAGCATACCATTACTCATTCTACCCATTAACTTTTATTTATTCTATTTTTGTGACAATAATTGCATGTTTTTTTCCTGGAACAAATTATTTTATTCATCGTTCGAAACCTTATCTAATTTTAATATACTTGCTGTATCGGTTATGTATGTTAGGTATCGTGATCACCAGGTACTTAACTACATCAACATTGCAGATCATGCATATATATATATTTATTTCAAGGTGCTCTTTGACAGGCACAAATGACCTCAGAAGGCAAATAAATGGAATTGCGTTTTTACTTATCGCGGAAAGACGATAATTTAAACGTAACGAAGTATTTTTTTACAACAATTCTTTATTACAAACAACCAGTCTTTAACACGTAACAGCATATTTTATGAATCTTTATAATTTAACTTTAATAATAATACTTGAGATTAATGGATCTATACAGTTCATGCAGATCGATATTGATTTTCGACCAAAAATACTCGTATCCTTTGAACGAGATCCTAAAGAAATCTGAAATCGGTCATACATTGACTGACTCGATCATTCTTCGTAAACGTCGAAAATTTTCATTTTATCTACCAATTTAGAATGAACTTGCAATTCAGAGGTGAAAAAGAAATATAACTTCTTACTGGATATACGTTTGCAATAAATATTTCGTAACTTTCATGTACATTTTCAAATTTTATCAATATAACTTTAACAATCGTTTCTCATATTACAATGTTATAATGAAATTTCAAGAAATTTTATATATATACGTATATAAAAGTGTTCGAACACGTTCGTGAGTCATTACATATGTTACATAGAACATTTTAATGTTTCATTTAATATGATATAGTGAGACACGATTGTATTGATCAAAATTTGAACACACATTTAACAAGCATATATTTCGCAGAGATGGCAAATGTATTAAACAGCCATTATATCAACGCATTCACTATGTAGGATTATGTTCAACACTTGTTACATTCCCAAGATAAATTAAATAATTTTCTGGATTTCCAAACCAATTGGATTCCAAATTTTACCGATCAACTGGAAATTTAATTTCCGAGTTCGTACCTTTGAGGCTGACAATTGAAACGAGAAGATAGAAAGTTGTTCTACGTAT